GAATAGATAGTTCATTCAAACTCTATCAATCGTACGTTTAAAAAAAAATTTAACTTCACTTGCTTATGAATAACAAAATATTTTCAAATGTCGAAATTATTAATTTTTTAAAGGCTACAATTGTTCACCATTTGACTGGTGTAAAGTTTAATAAAAATGTTTTAATATAATTTTTAAAAGAGAATTTTTTGAGCTTTTTAATGTTAATCATAAATTTTTTTAAAATTAAAAAAACAATTCTTTTCATTTCGGACAATGTTAAGTCGCAATCGGTCCGATAGTTATTATTTCAAAAAAAAAACATATTAGATGAAAAAGAATATATACATACCATTTGATAGTTATCACATAGAACTATAGATCCATCCATACAAGTCTATTTCTTATTGGAAAGTTTCATGACCAATTCCATCCGTCGAAGTTTCATGTACATTTTCATATTGTGGGATATCATGAATTATCTTTCTAAAAATAAACAACGAGCTCTTTACATTGTGCCTACAATGACAAATAGAACAAAAAAAAAGTTTGCAAGCAAAACCTTGTTCCTACCCATTATATATTATTGTCAGATGCTTTACTCATCGTGAAACCATAGAAGCAAACAAAGAGACAGTAATCTTTTTTAAATGTTACTTTTTTTTTCATAGAATTGTTCGAAAACGTAAATCTTTTACGCAATACAGTTGATCACCTTCTATTGTATATACTCAGTATTATTAAGTTTCTATTATAATTACTCTTAATCTTAGATATACCTTCAAAGAAAAAATTGTAATGAATTCTTATCTTTTATTTTCTTGCAAACTGATGATGATGATCATATGAATTATATCAGTGATTCACAGGACACCTAAAAAGTCATCTTGCCCTATCTAAACTTTGTTTTATGCTTCTTCATATATGATCCTATTGCTGTATTTTTCGTCATGCTAATATTCGAATGTAATTCTCAGCTATAAGTCATTGTCAAAATACTGTCACATATAAGACAACATGGCTGTTTACAAGAATATAACTATAGACTGTGTAGTATTTGTTCTGGACACATATCAATATTATTATTTCATTGCTATCGCATGACATAACGTATACTAGATTTAGATAGATTATTTCTAAATACACAAACACTTATGATAATCCATTATTTTTAGAGATTTATTTAAGTTCTTACAAAATACAGATAGTATTTGTTCGAAGACTGGAAGATCGTCAAATCTCGTGATGCCTCGCCTCCAATAATTTAATACTATCCATGCAGAGCGATCATTCCAACCGTCGAAAACGGTGTATTACTGTCTGAGTTTCCATTTTCTTTCGTTATAACCCGTTTTATCCTTGCAAACAGTCATCGTTTCTTCTATTATTTTAATTTATTTTTCAAGCATACCGAAAATAACGATATGATGATGCCTATTTTCTTGAACCTAGGTGCATCAAGATGACGTGAAGCTAGACTACAAATCTCTGGAACGCATCTCTATTTGTCTAAAAAAAAAATACTCATATGTCAAAATACCAATAATCCAATTAATATTCATTAGAATTTTCGCATTGAAAGATTATCAAACCTCATCTTATCTTCTTGTTTCATTGACTTGAGAACAAGCAAAATTCATTTGATAGTTAGTACGCCAAGTAGTGACATCTAACATTTTAGTATAATCTAATATCAACTTCAAAAATTGACAATAATACTCAAGTAATATCTAATTAAATTAATTCATATATATATATTTTTTTAACAAAGATTTAATATAATATTTTTGCTTCAATCAGATTCGATGAATAATCACGTATGATTCAATCAAATCAATTGAACCATCTATTCATCCATACACCCATCGTTCGTTCTCTTTTTTCTCGCAACAAAAATCTATACAGTTTATGTCATCATATTGTCCTTGTACATCTATAAATAGTTCTTTTTCTTTTTCTCGTCATTTCTCATTTCTAGATGGCAACTGTCGGTGGTAGTGATGACAATGAATGGCAAAAATTGTCACCAGATCAAAAAGTTCAACATAAAGTACTGAAAACAATATATTAAAAAAAAATACATATATACATATTAAAATTTAACCTTTGATCTATTTATTTAAGGCATGGAAAGCTCGTATGACTGGTTATGAAGAATGTGTTAAGCTATTTCGTACACAAAATTCAGATCAAAGTCCTGAATTTAATAAATATGTTAATCTTATGAAAAAATTTGTTATTGATTCAAATGAAAATGCACGTGAAAAAGCACTCGATGCTGTATTTGCTTTTGTTGAAGAAGCAAATATAGCTGGAAGGTAAGAATTAATTAATTAATTTATTTATATTAAATTTATTATTCTTAAAAATAGAACTGTTAATGATGTTGCATCTGGTTTAATAACAAAATGTTTAAATTCACGTTTAAAAATGAAAGAACGTGCATATGAAATATTATTAATGTATATTGAAATAGAAAAACAAATTGAAATTGAAGATGAACTTGTTAAAGGTCTTGAAAATAAACAACCTAAAATTGTTCAAGCTTGTCTTGAAATACTTCGAAAAGGTTTATCGTAAGTTAATTATTTAATTCTTAGTAATATTTTTTTGATTAAAAATTATTATATATATTTTTTTTTTAATTTCAAGTGAATTCGGTTCAAAAATTCTTCCAATAAAACCATTTCTTAAACAAGTTATACCTTTACTTGATGATCGAGATAAAACTGTACGTGATGAATCAAAATTATTAATTGTTGAAATTTATAAATGGATTGGAAAACAAACATTAATGCCAATGATACAAAATGTTAAACCTATACAAGTATTTTATTGTGTTTATCTTTAATTACTTTAAAAATTTTTCAGATGAATTAAAAACTATGAGTTATATAAGTAGAATTTTATGCACTTTCCAAATGTAGGCTTAGAAATTTTCTCGAGAGTAATGAGATGATTTTTTGCTTTTTGAAGAGTCATGGAAAACATTTCCGTATACTTTTGTAATTTGAAAATAAATGTTGACATATTTAATAAATATATCAACTTATGGAACAGGCGCTACCTTACAAAAGTACTATTGGAGGTTTGTTTTTTTTTTACACGTCAATTCTGATTCTTAGCAACAGTATAACCTGTTGAATTCCAGCACTAGATTGTCGAAAATGATAGAATCCATGTTCGAAGAAAAAATATTAAAAGTAAATCTTCAGGGATCTTCAAAAAATATCGGATCTGTTTCCAACAGTGGTATTACTTTGTCTGATCCAGCTAAAACCTTTTTCTGAAGGCACCTGAAACAAAGTTTCAGGAAGGAAACTTCCCAAAGTGACACCCGTTGTTTGAACTCATAATGGATCCACAGATAGGTTCCAGTGAGACAAGCAAAAGCCTAAAAGAGTTCGTTCCTATTGGCCTTTAGTGCTGAGTTATGATCGATTTACTAGGGTTTCGATACAAAATTTTCTCTATAGATTTCTGCCCGAAAAGAATGTTCCTTCGTCAAGCTATTGAATTTCCAAGAAAAGTTCTTTGTCACAAAAATCGAGTTCACTTGAAAATTCAATAACTTGAAGAAAATAGTTTTTAATATTTGAATCCGACATGTTTTACTCCCGCAGAGAACCAGAAATCATCCAAAAGACAGAGGCCGGAGGAATATCCTAGATCCTCATTGTTGAAAAAAAAAACGACTTTTCAAACAAAAGGAGCTCTTGGCAAAATGTGTATAGTTTCATTTAGATAAAAGCGACAGCTTATTTCAATATAACACTATGTAAAGAAGTATCTACTCGACAAAAATTTTTTTGACACCTTCGATGAGAAATTATAAAGATTAGCACAAAGGTTATTGATTCATCGTTCAATCTAATTTGTTTTGGTCTCCAAAAAAATTTCTTGACTAGTCTCGAATAAAAACTGAGATAAAGATTTCTAAGGTCATATTATGAAAATGCACAATATATTGATCTTCATTCATAAGCTTTTGACTCCTCGGAAATACTTTCAAGAAAATCAAAAATAAATAAATTATCTGAAAAGTTTCGATTCATTCATTATTTGATATATTATTGGTTTAGATGCAAGAATTACAAACTGAATTTGATAAATTAGATTTAAATGGTATTGATAAACCTCGACAAACACGTTTTCTTCGTTCACAACAAGATCTTAAACAAAAAATGGAAGAAACAGTAGTAACTTCATCGGTTGCTATTGAAGATACTAATGTTGAAAGTAAATTATTTTCATATTTAAAATATTAAGTTACTTTTTTTTGTTTTTTTATAGTGCAAGAAGATTTAGATCCATTTGAAATGATGGAAGCAGTAAATATTCTTGAACGATTATCGAAAGATTTCTTTGAAAAGATTGTATGTTTAAATAAAATTCAAATTTCATCAATTTAAATTTATTTATTAGGAATCTAAACAATGGAAAGATCGAAAAGAAGTTCTAGATGATCTATTAACATTACTTACTCAAAATCCTAAACCAACATCAGATAGTGATTATTCCGAACTCGTTAAAGTATTAAAAAAAGTAAAGATTTTTTATATAATTTTTTTTTTCTTTCAAATTAATCTTAATGTTTTTTGTTTTTTTTATTAATAGATTGTTGCTAAAGATAGTAATATACCTGTCGTTCTTGTTGCTGCAAAATGTTTGACAGCATTAGCTAAAGGTTTAAGAAAAACATTTAAAAACTATGCTGCTGGTGTAAGTATTTGTTAGTAGGACTTCGATATTTAATGATCTGTTTTTTTTTGTTGCATTTAGATTATTGAAGTTTGTCTTGATCGATGTCGAGAAAAAAAAACTAATGTAATTGAAGTATTACGTGAAGCATGTGAAGCTGCTTATCTGGCAGTAAGTATTTTTTTTTTTTTATTAATATAGTTTGAGTACATGCACCGAGTTTCTAACATTTTACTAGAAAGTATTTTTTTTTCGATTTTCATGTTTCACTTAAACGTAACATTGTTGGATACGGTCAAAGATAACAATTAATATTTTTTTTTTTTTGATACATAAAGTTTAAAGATTCAAGGCATTAGATCAATATATTATTAGTTATGCTAAATAGGGTTTTCTGTAGTGATTTTAAACATATTCTTAGCAACAAATTCAACTCAAGTATACTTTTAGCGAGTCAATTTTTGATGTATTATGAATTATGCAAGAGCATTGAGTATCATGTACCATATGAAAACGAAATTATCAATGAAAAATCTCTTGCTATGATTCATTCTTCCACTGCTTTATCTCGTCGATGGCTACTTCTCTATTTAGAAAATTTAAAATAAGGATAATCCCAACAAAAAAAAATATTAGCTGGTTGAAATTAATGAACTCATTGTTTATTATTTAATAAGCAGGTATTAGCAAAAAACTTATGAGAAAGGTTATATTACTATTCAATTCTATAAAAAATATCGGCCTACCTTGTAAAAATCGCCATCGGGTATTTTTCATTTTCTTCATTCTATATATAATTGATATAATTATGAAGATTAACAATTCATCAGTAATGTTGAAAGTGCTATATCAGACGGAACCTATGATAATGAATCAAAAATGAAAAATTGTTATGAAGGGATATGGATACAAACATTAGTAATTTAATCAGAATACTTCCTTGAGAAAAAGATAACAGGTACACTGAAGAAATCTATATCAATGAAACTAATTGAACTAGTGAGATCACTTTCAAAAAAATTGTCTTAATCACTACAAGAAATATATCTAAACACTAATCAACGTAATTAATAATATATCGAGCTATTTCTAAAAGAATGTCCTAAATCTCTAAACTGTATATACCAAAAAAATGTTAGAGACTTCACTAATTGATCTATTCATTATTATTTTTTTTTTTTGTAATTTATGATCTATTGATATGCATTTAAAGGTCTTTATTTATATGTACCAGAAGATTGAATATATAGTCAAATTTATTATAAAAAAAATAATTAAACATACCTATTTAGTAATCAAGAGCAGAAAAATCGTCATCTGACGGTTGCTGACAGGCATGAAATTGAAAAATGTCGATAAGGTTTGTTTGACCATAAAATGACATGATACCCGTCTCTTCAAATAATAGAAACTTTTTCTTGCGTTCTATAAGCGAGAAAATATTTTTCTCGTCCAAATCTATTCTACGAGTGTCGATTATGGCTATCACAAGATACTATGTAGTAAACAATTTGGATACATTAATTGATGCTTTTTCTATTCTGTCCAAGATAGCAGAGAATTCCGTTGTTATTAATTATTATCTAGCTGCTTGATTCTTTCTGTTTATTACGTATTTCTACTTTTATGACTTAGAATCGACTACTTTTTGATGGTCCGTGTTATTGCAAGAATTATTCAGGGTTATCCGACCTGTTCTAGATCAGAAACAATCTATTAAAAAGTTTTTATAAAAATCACAGCAGTCATTTATATTAGAACATCGTAAAAAGTTTATTATTATAATGATCACAAGTTGAATAGGATCGGACAATTTTAATGCTTGAAAATAAAACAACATGGCAGATAAATCGAATTACTTATTTAACCAAAAGAACAAGATACATTCGTGGATATTCTAACTTCTTAAAGGCTATCATTTATTAAGACAAAATTTTTACAAGTGAAATGCCTACTGATCAGTTTCAACGAGTCAGATCGGTTATTTTTTTTGTTTTAGTTGTACTATTTCGCTTCCGTAACATTCATGTCACTTAACACAATTGATAGTACATTCGATCTTGTATGTGAAAGAAGAATGTTATACACTGTTTTTTCAAGATTCTTGATTGTTATCAATTGCGAGATGCAAAATCTATGTTAAAAAATTCTGACGAAAAAAAAAAAATCAGATTTTTTTTTACTTATGTGAGAAAAGAAATAAAATTCAAGCCGATCGGTCTATTTCAAGATCTAGTTCAAAAATGAAATGAATAAGAAAATTTAAAAAAAAGAATCGATGTAATAAGAAACTTGACTATGTTGTTACATCATAAAAAGAAAATTTGCTTGAGAATTTATGATTAGTTCTCAACTTACTCTAGATAAAAAATTCAACTTTTAGTAAGTTTTATCTACTAGACAGCTGCACTGCAGAGTAAAATCCAAGTCCAAAAATTTCGCACCCGATAGACTCTAGTCGCCTGAGAAATATGTAGGATGCGTTAGTCACTAAATATAGAAAAGCATCGCATATCTTCTGGATGACTGTTCAATTTCGATTAGAAAATTTCATTAAGATTATCAAAGTATGATTCGACTGGGTCCGAAAAACATTGATCATCCAATTTCGGGATCTAGGCTATGATTCAAATTTCCATGTTGCATAATTCTCCTTATGATTGGATCCAAACTTCATGAACAATGTGATTACATAGATTCTTTCATATTATATTTTTAGAAGAATAATTCAATGATTTATTTTTTAGACTACTCTTGAACAATTTTCTGAAGTAGCTGTAATTTTACTCGCTCATAAAACACCAATTGTTCGACAATGTACACAACAATTTCTTACAAAATGTTTTTCTATGGCAACACAAATAACATTACCAAAGAAAACATTGAAAATATATTTATTACCATTAATTAAAGTATATATACATATATTGATAATTACTTTCTTTTTCTTTTTTTTGTTATTTTGAAGAAAACAATATCTTGTTTAAAATTTAGAATACAGGAGAAGCTGATTCAACTGTACGTGATAGTGCTTTTGAAAGTCTTGGTATGTTATGGAAATGTCTTGGTGAAAAACATATTCTTCCGAATTTAACTGATATGGATGAACTTAAATTAAATAAAGTTAGAAATTAATCAAATCTATTTTTAGTTTAATTGTTTTGTTTTTTTTAGATTAAAGAATATGCAGAAAAATCAGTTCTACTTAATCTTCGAGGCGAACCACGTTCAACTGCTCCGATAATTATGGCTCATACAACTACTACTTCACCTATTAGTTCAATAACAAACAAATCAAATAGTAAATTAGATGAAGAATCAAAACATTCAAAACCGCCAATTATAGTCAAGAAAAAGCCAATTGTAATAGCTAAACCTCCTCCTCCTCCTGTGTCGACTAATGAAACTTCAGAAGAAAAGAAAAAAGAATCGCGACCACTAAAAGTAAAATTTCATTTGTCTACAAACAAAAAAAAAAATCCTTATTTTTTCTTTTTTTACATTTATATTATAGGCTCCTGCCGCACCAATTTCTAATGTTGTACCTCGTATTTCATCTTGTCGAAATAAACAAACAGTTATAAATACATCTTCATCAAATGTTAAAACAAACATATCAAAACCTCGACCAGTTACTGCTCTACCATCAAAATCAACAACAATTAATACACAATCACGTACTCAACGTTTAACACCAGTTGTTCAAACTTCAACAACAAAAATTCGTTCTAAACCACCTATATCAACAAATCGACGTTCATCATTTGGTTCAACAATTTCATCTTCAACATCAAATTTACAACGACAATCATCATCAACTGGTGGTTCAACATCATCATTAAGTAGTACAAATACTCAAGCATCAATACCATGTACAAATTCACAAACTCCAACGCCATCAACAATAACAATACTTCGATCAGTTTCAAATGATATTATTTCATCACCAAATTCATCAAATATAAATACAAAAAGTCGTATACCTATACGAACAATGCCAATAAATATTGTTAAAAAATCATTAACATAAGAAAAATAAATTATGTGATATTAATTAGTTCTTTCGCATTTGAAATTCTTCGTCTTCTTCTATTTATTTTCTCATATAATGCGATGATTGACTAAATAATTACTTAAGTTTTTTTTTTTTCTTTTTTTCTTTTGTATATCTTATTTTGTCTTCCATTCTATTTATTACTCTAATGAACTTTTCTTTGCCTTCGATTCATATTCTATCTTGCTCTCTCTCTCTCTCTCTCTGTTTTTTTTGTAACTATTCACAAAGAAGAGAAATTATGCAATACATATTTATCAGATATTGACTTTGATGAGTTCAATATGAAGAAAAAGACGTATGTGTAGGTTTATTAGGGAACAGATCGTTGCTTATTATGTAAAAATTTATAAGAATTTTGAACAACATAATGAAATACAATTATACTATTCATTTTACACTATAATATGTTCTGCGGTTTTTTGAAGAACTTTTAATAGGAACATCATAGAGATCAGCAATTTTCATCATTCAAGAGAGTAGATTCAAGGTCAATAAATAAAGGTATTTGTCGTTTTGATTGAGACTTTTAATAGGACTAATTGATAGAAAAAATTCTTCTCGTTCGATTTACACAAGACCGACATTCCTAACTTATTCCATTTGAGAATTATAAGACTTTTTCCGAGAATCTTAATTTCAGTCAATTGACCTGTGACCATCTGAAAAAAGCAATTATTCGTGAGTAATTCACCATTCTGAGTCGAATGATGATATTTATTTGTAGGTTCAAACTGATCTGACACTTATATCGCAATATTTCTGAAACGTCAACTCCTTCGTTACATGGAGTCTGCTTGTGGAATCTCAGAAATATTGAGATAACAGAATCAGATCAATTGGAATCTAAAAACAAATATCACCATTCAATTCAAAATAGTAAACTACTCATGGTTAGCTATTTTTCCGAGTGACCACAAGTCAATTGGTTATAATCGGGAACTCAGGAAAAGTTTTGTAACTCTCGAATAGAACAAACTAGGAATCTCGGCCTTGTGTAGATCAAAAGAGAAGAGTTTTTTTCTATTGACTAGTCCTATTAAAAGTCTAAATCGAATGGAAAATAGTTTTAGAATATCATTTTCGAAAACCTACTCCAAGAACTCATCTAGTTAGTAAATTATTGATCAATCAAATTTCAATAAATTTTGATGCCTTGAGACTTCTCTCTTGAATGATGAAAACAGAAGGTCTCTGTGATGTTCTTATCAAAAATCATTCAAAAAACAAAAACAATAGAGTGCATTATATTTTGAAATGGATCGTACAATAAATTAATTCCTGATGAAAAAATGACAAACTGATTGATTTAATGGTTCTAATATTTGTTAAATTGATGACTTTAATATAATGACAGTTTGTATTCAACAAAACACATATGTATAAAACCGTGTACACGCTAACAGATTGACTTCATAGAAAGTAATTCTATCAGTTACTATATCAAAAATCTCTAAAAATATATTCTTATTAATATACAAAGCCTATTCATGTATAGTTGGCCGGAGAAGTGGCACAAAAATTCTTGGAAATGGGATTCCTCCCAAAGTTATGCATGTCATGGACGATTTGAGTGTAGGAGTGAGCGTTCTTTTCACTCATACTTTGCCAGCAAGTGTCCTAGACCCATTTTCCTATGTTATTGGCAAAAGAAATAAGGTACATTTTTAATAATAGTGTAATTCAAAAACAATACAAAAGTAGCTAGAATCAAATGAATTAATCGAGTCATGTGGGACGAATATGGAAAGTTTTTTTTTTTTCTTCAAATTATTCTACAAATCAATTGTTAATTTAGATTTATCAATTTACTGAACTGAAAATTCTATCGAACTTGTACATTCTTTAGCATTAAACAATGAAAACATATTGCTAGTCTTTTTCTGTATTAAAATCCAATAATAATTCAAGACAATACTCTACTTTCAAATATTATTTATTTAATGAAATAATATGATTTTTCTTTTCTATTCTAACGAATAATAATTACAGCCGATTTCTTAACAAAAATGATGAGTTTATATGAAGATAAATTTAAGAGCATTCTCATTGAAAATTATTTCTTTTTTTATAATCAGAGATAATGCAAAAAACCTTGATGTTTAAGGATGTGCCTGTAGGTGTATGGCTCATCTCTTCATCCTTATCGATCCATACTTTCACACCGATGCTCTAAATTTCAACCATTATTGGCGTAGTTGAAGTTCAATTATATCCTGTTCTTATTTATGTTATATTTTGGGATCATAAACAAGATGGCAAAAAAGCCTTATACTTCTATATAACCCAAAGAAGAAAAAGTGAAACCACAGGAGTGTGTACTTCACTTTACTTCAAGGTTTTTCTTGAAGTACCGAAGTGTCACTTTTTTTCTTCTTTGATATTATATATCTGAATAAATATTTGAAAGAAAAATGTTGATATTGATATTAATATTCTGATTTTAGTTAAATTATAATTGAATATATGATATTTAATCTTGAATAGGAATTGTTGAATTGATATTGAAGATCAAATATCAATAGACAATCATGTGAATCTTTTCTTTATATCAAAATGTTATATTTCTTTAGACGACAATTTTGAACACAGATAAATTTTCAAGCATTCATATTATATATCACAGATTTATTTTGAGTAAGATCAAAAGAAAAAATACCGTTTGTTCCGCAAGACTCTAGTAGAGCGACATCTTTATGTTTGTCTCGATCAGTGGAACTTGAAAAAATTTTGTCCTGTAGAACTCAACTACCTTCCTTATAATTACCACCAGAATTCCCATAAACTACTGAAGTAAGCTTCTGATATCAATCATTAAAATTATATAGTGAGACGTTAGATTGCATCAAAATATACATGTGAAAAGTATAATACTGCTATGAAGAATATCAAAGGATATATATCATAATTATAAAAAAAATATTCGAAATATAAAATATCTAGATAGTGATGTTCTCTAGCTACATGTATTCAATTCGTTTTATTATTTCATATATCATACGAACAGTATTGTAAAGAGGAGAATGTTATATGAAATATGACAGATAATCAGAAATGAAACTGAGTTTATAGAATATAATTCAATTTTGTCAAATATCAAATCAAGAAAAATCAAATGAAATATGTGTCGGTTGAAAAACTTTGAATACAATGAGAATTGAAGAATGATTTAAATTTCATAGACCGAAAACATCATATAATTTTCTCAAGACCAGTATCGAAACCAAAAAACCAAAACTTCGTATTTGGTATCATTACTTCGCATCGGTACTCCCATAATTCATTGTTCTTTCAAAATAAAACATTTAGAGTAGTCCAAAAGTAATGATGCAAGTATTTTAATTTCTTATAAAAAAAAAAGCTTACAGATACTTTCTCTCTATGTAGTCTTAGAGTAAATATAATGTACTCTATTTTTCTATGGTATTTGAATATTCTTCAACTAATATCATGATAATAAAATTTCAACTAGACCTGATTGGTAATCATATGTGACAGTTAAATTAGTTTATATTATCTTCGATATGTATTCTCTTTGTTCTTCACATATTTTCGAATGTGTATTTGTCTATATATGTATATCAGGGTATACAAAAAGTAGTAACGACTGAATAAAAATAAAATACAGAAACAAGTAGTTCGTGCTTTGTCTTATCAACTTTCATAAAATTGTTTAAAATATCTTTCAACTGTCCTAAAAGAAGGAACTTCATTATTACGAATAGAACATAATTCATTCTGAATAACTCTCGTTTGAATATGAAGTGCTGTGTGTAATTTAATTTAGAAGCAAAAGTTTTTCTTATTCATCCAAAACAGATGAACAGTGTCAAAAATTTAATCTAACTTTATTTCTTTAACTTTCTTGAGTACACCCTAATAAATTACAGATACAAACAAAACAAATAACATATGCGTCTTTACATTTGCACGTATATACGGACGAACAGATTATTAAAAGGGGCGAAGATAAAAAATAAAGAAAAGAAAGAAGAATAACAAAGAAAAAAAAAATCAAGAAGCGAATACATATCGAAGATAATATAAACTAATTTAACCATCACACATTATAACCAATCAGATCTTATTAAAATTTTATTAGTATAATATCAGTTGAAGAATGATCAAATATTATAGACAAATAGAATATATTATTTTCATTCTAAGACTACATAGAAAGAAAGTATCTTTAAGTTTTTTATTTGAAATTCGAATATCTCCTCTACTACTCTTAGATTGTCCTCAGTAACATTTTATTTATCTAGTACGATTATAATCTCCTTTATCTTTACGACTACATTCTCTCTCGTAACGTTTATTTTCTCTTCTATACAAGGATTTATTTATAAAAATAAAAGTCGTCAATTGTGATGTATCATAGTCTATATGTTGATTATTTATTTTATGGTTGAATTTTGCGTGTATAGCTACACATACAGTAGTTGCAAAAGGTTCTATTACCGCATAAAAAGTTTCTATAGATGATTATTTGTTGAGAAATCAATCAATAATTAACGATGGGCTACATTGAAATTGTCTAATCGAAATTAAATTGGATTATAATGGCTAGATTTCAAGATTCAATCATTTTGAATTGCAAAACTACGTATTATAAATCTCAATTAAACTGAATAATTAGTAATTATTCACTTTCGTCGAATAAATAATAAATATGACGAAGGATCGATTCGAATGGTAGTTATAATATGAATCACAACGTGTATGTGGAAATTGTCGTTTAATGTGTTGTCAATTGTGCTATAAAGTACGATACATTTGTATGTACACAATGATCGCTGCATACAAACGCTTCTTCTCTCACTTTGCATGAAAAATTTTCGTCAAATTTTTATCCAAGGATTTTATTATTTAAATCCATATACGCACAATACAATCCGACAAAGAAAACTCATTCAATAAAATTTGTTCTTTACCAGTTAGATAAAAAATCAATAAAAATATGTGCTAGAATTAATATAAATAGAACTAACAATAAGCAAATAAACAAACAAACAAAATAAAAGTTTTCTTAAAAATAGTTTTCTTTAATGGGAAACATGTTTGTCTTTTTTGCATTCAGCATTGCAAGCATGTTCTTGTTCCTTCATTTTAGCTTTGCCAGATTCGAATGCAGCATCAACACGGTCGCTTGGTTTTTCAGTTGGATCACAAGCTTTTTCTGCTTTATCTTCGGCTTTTTTGCCTTGTATAGTTTCTTTTGCTTTTTCAACACCAGCTTTAATAGCATCCATTTTTTCTAATTAAAAAAAAAAAGCTACAATCTATAAGATACAGTACCTTTCTTTTCTTTTTTTTTTATAATACTTACACAATGAGAATAGTAGTAGAGAATAGTTTCGTATATTGAAATGATGAGAATAAATGACGGAACTCAATCTATTTATTCTCTCTAAAAAAAACACACTCAATCCCCTTTTCTTCCTTCATTCTTTTTTTTTTCTATACTCAGTATACAGAAAGAAAGAAACAGAGGTCATTGACTACAAAATTATATGCTTTTCATGTGATTGAGTCACGTGTTTTGGAGGTGTGATCGTTTTTCTACTCACTGCATTGCAAGATAAAAAAAAAAAAAGAATGCGTGATTACAAAGTCGTTTTTGTTATGATCTATACATTTTCGATGATAGTATATTGTTGACTGGCAAATATTATGATAGAATAAATGTTCCTAGAGAACATACACAATCCTTATATTATTATACGTATATATATATATATCAAGAAAGATTTATTTTTTTCTAGAATTTTTGTTGAGCGTTACAATAAATCAGAAAAATTGAATAACACAATAATAGCTTGAATAAAATATAACTAAGTAGTTCTATGAAAAAATTTTTTTGATTTAATGTTTATGTTCATTTGTTTTGCAATCGGCTTTGCATGCATGTTCATTTGCTTTGCATTCTGATTTAGCTGCAGCATGAGCATGATCAATACGGTCCGATGGTGCTTTTGATGGATCCGATGCTTTTTCAAGGTGTTCGTCGGCTTTTTTACCATGAACTGCTTCTTCTACCTATAAATAAAATTTATTTTATTGAAATATATTATAAAAATATTTGACTAATTACTTTATGTGCACCAGCTTTGAGAGCGTCCATATTTAAATTTTAAGCAAGAAAACAAGTGTTTATATGTGAGAAAGAGTATTGAATAGATAAAAAACAAGAAATATCGAGTATAAATATATGCATACGATTACGCTTGACTGGAGCTGTCATCATCATAGTAAAATAAGATTTAATGCGCAGTTTTTGTTAAATTGTCTTATTACTCTATGAAGCCTTCATATTCAAAAAAAGAAAAATAACGTCGTCATTGAGTAAATTATTAGTAAACCAAGGCCATTTTTGTTATTTGACATGTGATGTTGTTTATTTTCTAATAAGTTATAATTAGTTTTTTTGTTTTTTTAGTTACGTAAAAATGTTAAGGACATAGCTCGCTATTATATTGTTTGAAAAACAGTTAACTATAAATCATTAGATTATATTTGAAGTCTTACAAGAGAAGTTACTCAACTGTGAGTTCTCATTTTCAATCGATTTTATACCAGTTTTTAGAATTCAATTGATCTCAACTTCAGAAAAATAACAATCAAATATTATTTCGGAAATTTTAATTTTTGTGTTAATTTAATTCTTAACATTCAAATCTTTATCACTAGATTCATCTTAATTGACTGTATATATCAACATAAATAGGAAGTTCTAATAACGTCTATACTTTGAATATTTCAATATCATGAATATTGTGAATATATGAAATTCAATGACTTTTTCAAAAATCATCTAATTTCATTTGTATATTCATCTATTTAGAACATATATTAAAAATACATATTGATCATGTTTGAATTACCTATAATACCCAGTGTACTTTTTCATACATATGTACGCAAACGACGAAATAGAATACAGACTATTGAAAACAAGATATCTAACAAGACTTTAATTTCTATGTCTTTAAAATAATATTTGCAGAGAATCTTAATCAGTTTTGAAAACAAATACTTGAAATCTGTACATCCACATCGAAATATTCAAAATATAAATGTTGTTGGGACTTTTATTTATTTTGATAGTCTGGATATGTACAGACAATTAAGACGCATCTAGTAGTAACGTTTTGAATGGTGAAAACTAAATTAACAAATTTAACATTTTCAAAATAACAGTTTACAGTCATTTTTCTATAGTTGAAATTAATTTAACTCCTCAAGGACAGTCTATAAAGAAGAACACATTATATCATCATGATCAGCTGATTGAACTCTATAAACTGACATATAGTTGATTGAAAATGGAGACTCATACTTGTGGAGATTCTTTTTTTAGTAACATAATTTCAAAGTTTTCTTTTTCATATAATAAATTATTAATAAGAAAATATTATCTTTTTTTCTCTTACTACATCAAACATCTATATTGTTTCGTATTTCATTAATTACGAAGCAAATAAATTTTCATATATAATATTTACAATCTGCGTCCATGTTTTGTTTATTAATGAAATCCTTTCGTTCATACTAATTTTTAATGAATTGGCATTTATTATGACAAGTTTATTAAAATAAACAAAATTTATTACTGATTAATATAGATATTACCATCGGAATAGTTATTTAATAAATATAAAAGATAATTTTGGTTTTCTTTTTTTTCGATTGCAAGTTCTGTAGAAATTATGGTTTCAATAATTAGATGAATAAGTATTATCTTATCATCGAAAATATCCATTTGTATTCAATATAATCTAATACGGTACTGTACTCACAATTGTTCGTACACTTCATACGAAGAAAAAAAACCAAATTGTGCATTTTGTAATTTCGCAAGCGGGAATGTATTTCTAAGGTATTTTATTTACTAAGTTCTGTACTTTATGAACAGATTTATTTTTTCTATATCATAAAATTAACGTATATATATATATATATATATTTTTCCCTATAAAGTCTACGATCAATTTTGAGCGCTACGGTCGATTGTAGAGATTAATTATTATCATATGGATTTTATTTTCTCCTAACTCTACGAATATAATTGTCTTGCCATCCATATCTTATTTTTCGTTTGATAGTTATTTTGGTGTTTATGTTTATGTTTTTATTTTTTTCTTTCTTTCTTTCGTTCTTCTCTTTTATCCGTCAGCCTTGACCAGTCGCAGTATGAGAGAAGTGAGACCGGGTCATTGTTCTTTCTCAATGAATGGACGACGAAATGATTATTTCTGTTTTTCTTTCTTGTTCTATTTGATTGAAGGTCAGTTCAAACATTCTACCGCACATAAAAATATAAACGATTTATAAATTTTACTCCTCCCACCCATTGTCAATGATCAAAGACAAGTAAAAGAAAAAGAAAAAATAAAAATCAATTATCTATAAATGGTATTTCCAACAATTCAATCAAAAGATTTTCAGACTTCAAATGAAAACATATGTTCATCTTCATTATCAACAAATTCCAATGAAATAACAACAAAAATAAAAATTGAAGATGATATTGATGAAATTAAAATCTTTTCAGTATCAACATTGCTTAATAATGAATCATATAATGATCATGATTATAAAAAGTTTGATATTGAAGAGAGACTTTCACCAGTTATTGAAGAATCTGTAAGATTTTTATTAAATGATTTATTTATAAGAAATCTTTTGTTTCTTTTTTTGTCTTAGACTAGTCCGAATAAAAATGATTCATTAAATAATAATATTTCCGGTTTATATACAACACCTTTTTTTTATCCATATTTTCATCCTTATTTTATAGCTGCTACAGCACAAATAAATTCATCAGCAGTAAATAAATAAATTTTATTTTAATTTTTGTCAAATAAAATTTTCTTTATTCAGGATAAAATATCAATAAATGAACAAACAAATAATCCATTTGGTGTTGTATCTCCATTTTCTGGTATGTTATTTCGATTAATTGAATACAATTTAGAATTTTAGAAAATCAACTTAAAAGCAAATCGAATCGATTATATAGTTCTAATTGTTTTTAGGTATACCATTTCTTCCCTTCTATCCTCCTGGAATGATGAATCAATCATTTCAATCGAATTTTTTCAATCCATTTGGTATTCCAATTCCAATATCCGGTGTTTATCCTTCAAGTTCATCTAATCGACAACATCAATCATCTATTGATAATGAACAATTACGTGGAAAGTAAAAAGATAAAAAAAAAATTATTTTTTGTTTTCTTGCATATTTTTAATTTAGTTTAAATACACTAGTCCATGTAAAACGTTCGAAAAAACCTCATATAAAAAAACCTTTAAATGCTTTTATGATTTATATGAAAGAACAACGTGCACATATTATAGAAGAATGTGCATTAAAAGAATCATCAGCAATAAATAAAATTCTTGGTCAAAAATGGAAAGAATTATCTCGATCAGAACAAGATCGATATTATGGTATAACAATAAAAACGAAAAATTTATACTTAAAAAAATATATATATTTTATTTATATAGAATTAGCAAAAGAAGAACGTAATCGTCATATGCAAATGTATCCAAATTGGTCAGCACGTGATAATTATGGAATAAAAAAAAAACGACAAATAGGTCGAATACAAAAAAATGATTCTCAAGATAATGATAATAGTTTACAAAAAAATTCAACTAACACTTCAAAACAATTTGACAATGGTAAAGTAAACCATAAATCAATTGATATGATATTAATTCTTTTATGAAGTATACGATCTAAAAGAACTGTTGACATATAGAAATGGAAAGTTGGACTTATTTCCTTTCCCATACATACCTTGGCAATCCATTACAGTAATTGATTGGATTTCGAAACAAAAAATGACGTTTCCAGATAGAACTTAGCAAGCTATATCGAACATATCCATTTTAAGTGCAGTTTGATTTTATATTCGCATTTATTTTCTAGAAATATTACGTTACAGAATTTCATTATTATACGAATTTTGTGGCGTTTTTAGACAACTGAGCGTTTTGAAATTCTTTTTTTTTGTTTATAAGTATGCACATATTTCGAATTCTGAACAAAATGGAATTTTTTATTGATCAAAATTTTTATTTTTATTTTTCTTGAAAATTTCTCAGGTAAAAATTCTTTTTTGGTTAGATTCTAATAAAAATACATCATTTGATGCAGAATCCGATGCTGATAACCAATATTTAGTTGTTTTTCACTTTTTGCTTTCATCCTGACCTAAACGAGGGTTTTCGAAAACAAAAATAAACTTTCGTAACGAATACTATTTTTAGTTTATTATTGGATGCAGTTATGTTTGTTAAGAACTGAACAAGTTTTATGTAGAAAGTTTATTTTGATGTTGTTTCGTTTCGTACTAAAATGCGAAGCTCTTAACTTTGCTTGAAAAAACCCCGTAATGGCCGGTATTTAAATAGTTTAATGTGAACTAAAGAAAAATTACTAAAAATTTTCATTGACATTACATTCAAATAGTCTCTATCTATAATAAAAGTTTTGCTTTTTTTCCATTGACGATAATTCTATGTTGCAATGTAAAAAAAAATGAGATTTTGTGACGCTGGGTCACGCTGACCTATGATTAAAGAGCGTATATTAATAATGTCTCGTTGTAATATAGAGTTGTCGATATTCTTTTGATGGTGGAAGGGACTAAAAATTCAGCAAAAAGTATTTCCATCCTTGGAGTGTTAGAAATGGTGGTCGTAACAGGAGGAGCTATGTTTCGCTAACTGAGAAAGCTATTTTAATATATAAATTACTTATTATATTTCTAGAGGATTAAATGAAAAGATAATGCATATATGTATTTCAAAATAGATCGAATAGAATAATTTTGCTATGATTAGCAACAACCGCTACATCGTGTTTTACATTTTAATTCTGCAAGGATTGTGCTAACAGTTTTTTATTATTTTTTTTTGTTCTAGATTGTTTAAATCTAAAGAAATGTCGTGCTAGATATGGTTTAGAAGGTCTTAATCAATGGTGTAAACATTGTCGACGAAAGAAAAAATGTACGAAATTTCTTGAAGACGATTTATCAAATCCTAGAACATTAGGAAATTCATCGAGTAATGGTAATCCATCATCAGTTAGTTCAATAGTTACATTTCAATCTGATGAAGATTCAATAAATAATCCTGATAGTGATGATATATTATCACGACAAATTAATTCAATTCAAGATGAACATGATGACAGTAATGAAGAGAATAAACAACAATTTTATCTTCCATCTTCAACTTTGCCATTAAATTTTGTACCTAACTTTCGTTATTGATATGCAGTTTTGTTTTTTGTTTGTATATAGAACTATTACATTCGAATGATAGATATTTTGTTTCTTAAGAATTTAAAATTGAAACTTCTGATAGTTTTACAAAACATCTTATTGTTAACATGACAAAGAAAATTTAGTTGATTGAAGTTTGAGTTCAATATAGTTTTACTAGGGCAATTAAAAAGTTCTGTCACTTTCAAATATTTATTCATAGAAAAAACATTTTGCTAATCTGATTACAGTAAATGTTCGATACAAAGTTTTATTCTCTCGATCTACTTCTACAATGTCCTTAGGTATTGTTGAATAGGTTTTGAATTGAGTTCTTTGATTATTGCTTTACCTGAATTTGTAGCATGTGGATATTATCAAAGCTACATTTCAGACAACTAAACAACCAAGAATCTGAAGGAGCAAGGTTACGTGAGTATGATTGAAGAGTCATAACTTTTATTTTTTCCTCTTGAAGATAATTAAGATTGAGAACAATATTTTGAATATGTGATTTTGCATTTTTATAATGCAAATTTATGCTGCTTGTTTTTTATGATGTTTTCTTATGTAAATTTTTGATTAATATCTTCAAGTATTCATGTCACGACAGTTTATATCATAGCTGTGTCTAAGATAGTAGTAACACAATCAATACTAGTATGTGGATCATCATCTTCTAACAACTGCTATCAATTTGCAAATCGATGAACCCAATTAGCAACTGTACAATATGAAACAACACCTCGTCCATAAGCAGTGGTTAATTCATCATGTATTTGTGTAGCAGTCAAACCTAATAACAAACGAGTTTTTATATATGAGTGTAAACACAGTTTATCCATGTGAAGATGGTGGTGTTCAAAAAATTCGTTGAAAATTTGTCATCGACAGACACTTGTGAAAACTTCGTATTGGTATTTTAATACATAACACATGTCACTACTAGAATAGGCCAACATGAGGCATAAAATTAATTAGAATTAAATTTTAGGCAGCTGTTGCCAGAACATTCTGACTGCCATTAGTATTTGATGATGAAGTTGTATGAAATAAGCTCTAGGATTACACATACAAGAGGTAAATCATTGAGAGTAACTTGTTGAGATTGATAAATGATGGTAATGAAATCGAGTTCTATAAGTTATATTCGATGAGGCAAGAAAATGCGCAACTCTAACGACTCAGGCTTGTTGACATTGAGAATAGAATGAGAAAAATACTATTTATATAACGATGCAGGTATTTGTGTTGATAAGTAAAAAGATGGGACATATTCGAGTCAAAAGAAAGCTCTCATCGCCAAACTAACGAGGTTAAAATATTGGCTTGCTCAGAGAGAGATATTCGATTTTCACTATATTTACAGTATATGTAGGATATCCACAATTGAAAAATTCAGTAGAATTTACTTTTCTTTTTTCGTAACGATTAGATAGAGCTCGTCGAGTTGCATTAGAAAAAGTATGTTTCAAATTTTTAAAAAGAGATTTTTAAAAAGTTTTCGACGACGAGTCCAAGTTGCGGTTATTTTCTAATATAAGGGAAAATATATCTAAAATTCCTATCCTTCGAAAAAATTTTTTAAAATCTCTTTTTATAAATTTGAAACATACTTTTTCTAATACAACTCGACGAGCTCTATCCAGCCGTCACGAAAAAAGAAAAATAAATTCTACTGAATTTTTCAATTGTGGACATCCTACATCTACTGTAAATATAGTAAAAATCGAATATCTCTCTCTGAGCAAGCCAATATTTTAACCTCGTTAATTTGGCGATGAGAGCTTTCTTTTGACTCGAATATGTCCCATCTTTTTACTTATCAACACAAATACCTCCATTGTAAGAATGAATTGTATTTTTTTTAGTACAATTGAGATTTTAGTTGCATTTGACAAATAGTTTTGTGTTCTTGCGAGCTAATTTGGACAATTTTTTTCCGACATGTTATTCTTCGATATATGTCACATATGTACACATAATTTCAGTTTTTTATCTCACATAACTGGTGAATTATGAAAGACATATAACAAGAAAACATCAATTGTTTTGACGACATATGTCAATAAAAAAGCATAATGTTTTGCATGTTATCAAGAAAGAGCTTAAGAACGTTAATAGTCCAATTCGTAGTACGTTTGGCATTCTGCTAAAATGTATTATTGATTTGGATTTCATTCTTTCTTTATTCCTTTGATAGACGTCCACATTATCTGACGAATACTTGCATAACTTTTGTGTTGAGTGCCAATAACTCGATTCTAACAGTTCCTGCGATAGAACCAATAGCATACACACCATATAAAAAAAAACAAAGAAAGGTTGGTTTCAATAATAAACGAATGACAAAAAATTGTGTTTTAATTAGTACCGTTTCTAAGACAAAATAGAAGAACGTTGTGAAAATAAAGGCATTATACTCTATAGAGATTATCGTTTTATTCTGCTGATATTTCTAATTAAATATGCTCAAAAATATTCCTTTCAAGTGTAATTTAGTTCAGCAGAATCCAGTGAGTGATTGTTGTCTTTATATAATACTAAGTAAAATAATAGGAGCCTCTTAACAATGGGTAGAAAAATTTTCATTATTGAAATTCAACTATACAGCGTGTATTTTGCTTAATATTGAGTAAAGTGTTTGAAGAGACTTTTACTATGTAACATAGGTACAGAGTATAATACAATAAACTTCTTAGAAATCATTTTGGATTATTTTCATTTTTTTGCATGAATCCTACAAAAAGAAATCCGATTCCTTCTTACATTATATAATTATATTTCATTCATGATCAATATTTTGTTACAACATATACAATTATTAAGAGAATAAATTATAAAGATCTTAATCAGAATAATAATGGTGACACTAAAGAAATGAATACCTAATCAAAACTATTTTTTGTTTTTAAATAAATTAGAAATACAATTTTATTTTTCTTTCAAATATTGTAGAAGAATGAACTGATTAGAATCATCTTCATAGACATTTTGATATTACTACACTATCAATAGAAATATTACATCGGCCTAAATCTCAAATAATGATATTTGTATATGATTATATATAGTCAGTTGACTATTTTTAACTTAAAATTATAATATTTAGAATTTTCATTTTCAGTATTTGAAAGAAGTAAAATATTTCAATGGATTGAAACGAAATAAATAACATGATAACAAATGGAAAAGCAACATTTGATTCAACCTTGAAAATCAAAGATACAATGGTGTGAATTCGATAGAAGTTGTTTTTTGTACAACAAAAAAATTTTTTTTCTATTCCATCAATCACTAATTAATATTCTTTCCAGATTCTTGGTTGAAAAAACAGATATTAGGTTTCTGACAAGATTTATGTAGATCAAATCATGGGTGATGAGAGAAGATTTTTTTTATTCTTGCTTGATTCTTTTTCTTTTTTCTTGAATCTGATATGTTTATCAAAACAAAGGAAAGAAAAAGATAAACGAGAACAATAATTTATTTATATTAAAAATATATACCTACTATTTTAATTCGTCTTCTTTATATTAGTGGCTCCGAGAATCGATAATGATTGAGTCTTGATCAAGTCTTTTTTTTTTTTAGAAATTCTAAAATCAACAATAATTCGATCATTAGTGCATTAACAAGTATGTCATTTCTATCGAATATGTTCACTTAGTTGACACGATCATACAACTCTTATGCTTATTTGAAAAAAATATCTTTCATTCATTAAATTAAACACAACAACTATTGAGTATCATTAGTGTAGAAAATGAATAAATGATGTATAAATGTTATAATATATACACATATAGATGCATATATACAAAAACATCGCGCAATGTTTGTTTGGAAGATTAAACAAGAACCTTTTGCTTTTTGTTGCGTATGACAAAAAAAAACTTGTCTGACATCAGGATTAAAAAAAATCTTACTAGGTCATCAAGAACAACAAGAATCTTGACAGAATAGATCCAAGAATATTGACTAATGATGGAAGATACAATTAACAACTGCCATTAAAATTTATTATAATGGCATTGCGAATATTTATTTGTACATTAATGTCATATCCTAATGATTTTTTAGCACGAAAGGGTTTCGAGATTTGGATGACACATCTAATGGAATCAATCTATGATTAATATCGCAAATAAACATATTGACATATGTAATAGATTTCAGTATTTTGTAGTTCTAAAGTATCTCTCAGTTTTATAATCGATGGATATGAAAAATAGAAATCTATTTTGTTAATATACTTCTCATTTTTCAGAAGTTTTTGACGGCATTTAGATAGAAAGTAATAATAGACTCGTGCACATATGGTTTCTTGACAACATCAATCGCGGAATAATTTTTGTAAATATGGCAAATGTAGATAGAGGTATAGCCAGAGAAGAGTGTTTGTACATACAAATAGTCTCCGTTAATAACAAACTCTATCGAAGAGAAAGCAAGTTAAATTTTCTTCTCCAATGAAAATATTATCTTCATCATGTTGTTGCCTTCTTCCATAGAAAATTTCTGGTTATCTACTTGGACGTAGAACAATCAAGTATTATTATGAGTTGACATTTTGGAATATTTCATTCTGTAAAAATCTAAAATTTATGATGTTAGGTGACCTAGATGAGTACATCGTTTTAATATTCTGAGTATGATACAAGTATTCGAGTGAAAGCCATTATAAAAAGCCTTTTTATGTAGAAAAACATCGAAAAACAAAATGTTGACAATTTAAATTTAAACTTAAAAAAAAATTAGACCTTATTCGAACAAAAAATAACATCTTTCTAGTTGATTTTTTGAATAGATTTCATCACGTTCATTACATAGATTTGAAATGGATATCAACATATCAAAACATAATCCTAAAAAAATTAATACAAATTGAAACTGATCGAAAACATTTGTAAATTTTTGTATATCTTCAGAAACTTTCAGATATTTCCACCTATTTTTATCTTAGGTAATCCTAAACATGAAGAAAGTAAATCATCAAGACACAACAAAAAGGACTTTCTTGATCACAATCATCATAAATCAATTTGTTCTCCATTGTATATCGTTTCGCAGTAAGAACTAATAAGAAGATAATCATTTCCCATTGACTAATCAACGGAATTGTATTTTTGTCATCTAGTATAAAATATAGTAAGATATTTATTATTTTTTTGTAGTTCACAATTAAGTTTCAATATTTTTTAGTGTATTTGAATTATTAAGTGCAAGTGAATTTTGTTCATTGTTCTTTTGTTGTCGTAGAGAAATGAAATTAATTAATTTAATAAAATCTCTTCTGAATGTTTTCGATATAATTAGACGAACATAAAATTTAGATGAATAATTCAAAGCTGAAAGTGTCAAAAACCAATTGAGTAAAATTTTATATTGTTGCCATCTTATTGAGCAAAATATATCATGACTAAAAAGACGATCATGTACAATAAAGATTTCTAGTATAACAGTTGGTAATAAAGAAAATAAAATAAATATTGAAATAAAAAATATTAGTATAGAATTTCTTTTCATACGACGTGCAGTTTCACTTGATTTATTTTTAGTTATTTTTCTTTGATTACAACGATTGTGTAATAAAATTACTGATGATATACATGTTATTATTGATGGTAATGAAACAAATAATAAAGCATGTAAAAATGTCCATATACGGATTCTCCAAGGTTTAATAACTGTATCAAATTCACATATAAATATTGTTGTTTTTTTATTATAATGAAAATAAAAATGATGTGGAATCATAAATAAAATAACTATGATAAGAATTAAAAATATACGTATGAGAACATGACGTCGAGTAATTAGAAGACGATAACGAGTAGGATAAAGTATCATGAAAGTTCGATCGATAGATATTGATGCTAAATATAAATTTGATAATATTGTTGGACCAATAAGAATATTATAGAATATACCACAAGATAATATTTGTCGAAGATCAATTTTAATTATAGACATTCCAACACACCATAACCAAAAGATATCTATTAGAGCAATTTATCATTTTGAGATGTTAAAATAGAAAAGTCTATCTTCTCAAAAATGATCTCATGATAATGAATTTTAGATGTTGAGTGTATGCTGTGATTCTTTTCGTGTTCTATACACGTCAACTCCAAAGAAAATTGGATAGATAAGATCTGTTCATGTTTTGTCTTTCATAACTTTCAAAAGTGAATTATCATTATGCCGGTTAATCAGTCATCCTATGCTATTAGATTCTATTTATATATTATATAAATTCTACTTTATTTCATCAGCAGTATTTAATCTGTCACTGTCAATATACAGCAAATTATCTGATATCTTGCAGAGATCCATAATTTGATGATAGCTGAATGAATAAATAGAATATTTTTGAAGCTGTTTCCTATTTCATAAATATTTTATCCTTAGGGTTTGAAAAGCAAAAAAAGATATGTTACACCACAGATCACAAATTTCAAGTCTATAATTTTCGTACAAAATTGCTCATTATTAACAACATAATCTTAATGGAAGTAAAAAGAATAATATTGAGTATTTATCATTATATTGAGACTCTAATTTAATAAGTAAATTAATCTATATTTTATTCGAAGCACATACTCAAGTGTGACTTGAAAGACTTTTCTATAAATTGTTATTTCCTATCAATACAAAGAAAGTCAATACAAATAAATTTCTATTCTGTTGATTTCCATATTCTATTATTTGAACTGTTTAATAAATCATCTATAGTTCGAATCTTTTCCCTGACGCCCCTGTTTCCAATGAATAAGTAATTATTTCATCGGAATGAATACAAATTCAAACTACATGCTAATCTATATGATAATCTATATGATAAAAAAAAGTCAAAATTTTTACCAACCAACAAGAAATATCAATTCAAATATAGCAATAGCTATAACATATAATGATGTTGATTCTTTACGATTGGTTTTATTTAACATAATTAATATTTGAAATAAATGACCAGGTATACCAAACATAGTACATAACAAACCACATGTATGCCAAACGATATATGATATATGTAATGTAGTGTTATAATTCAAAATATTAGAACAAATTTCGATACTTGTATTAAGCATTGTGTTGCTATTGATTAATTTCTTATTATTATGTCAAATGTCTAGATGATTTTTATCGGAAAGCCAATGTGTATGAGTAGATTGTACTAACATACTCTTTTATTCTCATAGGAGAACAATATGAAGAAAGAAAAAAAAAAGAAAAAGAAAAAGAAAAGACTGTTTTCATACTAATGAGAACGAGTCCTATGGAAACATTGATAATAAAAAAAGAAAAATAATCCTTATTATTAGTTTTGGTTGAATGAAGAAACACAGTTAAAAATATTTTTTTCTGTAAGACTAATTTTTTTTAATATGTAAAACTTGGGTTAGGTCATTATAATTACAATCATTTATTTTTCTTTGAAAAATTGTTAGTGCGATAGCTGCTGGATTAGAATGTGAAATACGATGTATTTGATGTCGCGTCTCACAAGAAAATTGTTTTATTCTATCTATTTTGGGACATTTTTCCTCATCATCGTTTACTTAATAATTGAGAGATGCAATAAGGAAGTAGTTTGTATATTATGATCAAATATTATTGGTATACCATCTGTGACCGTATATCAACATCTGTTACAATCTGTAACGATCTCTAGTTAGCGTCTGTCGTGATTTGGGAAGGGGAAGGAGCGAGAGTGTCGCAACTTCTACCTCTATGTTTCAACACTCCATTTAGATCGTGCTTCGAGGGTAAGTCGAAAGGCGCGACAAAATTAGTTTATATACAGACTGAAAATAGGCCCTAACTAAATGTTGTTATTGTTGTCCATCACTTTTAATTGATTCACCAAGTCTTTTAGAAATTTCATCAATCATTACAAGTTATTTTCTACATTCTTTTTTCAATCTAGTTTTTATTTGTTTGACGCTTGAAAATTGTTCACCTCATACTTTATTCTTTAATATTTCTCGCGCACTTTCAGTGGGCTATACGTCAGCAAATTCAGCGTCATCTTCTTAAGATAAAATTCGATTAATAAATAATTGATCAACAGTTGAAAATACAAGCATGATTCTTTGTATTTCGTTCAACACGTGACGTTTTCATATATTTTATCTAGTTCAATCCAGTTACTAACTACATAGGTTCGCTGAATATGTAACCAGTAGATCATGATGAATGCCGAATAAATGAATAAAATTAATAACTGTTGGTTTGCACTACATCACGTTTTATGTAGAATTGTTTAGGATTTTATTAAAACATCACGTTGATCGATTGCCAAAAACTTTATCCTCATATTTTCACGTTTATATTTTTATTATTTCAAGTGAAGATATTGTTCAATAATATACCATTTGAGAGATTGACACGAATACTCAAGATTCATTTAAAAATACTCGGTTAGAGATTATTTTCTATCTATATATAAACTAATTTTGTTGTACCTCAAGAATTATGAAACACGTTGTATCGGAATGGAATGAATCAGCGGCCTAAAATTTATGTCATTAAAAATGATTAAATGGTGCACAATGACTTAAAAAGAAGCAAAACATGTCCAGCATCATGTAAATGTTTGGTAGTCTTTATTCAATTTTGTGAAACTTCGATTTATAACAATAATAAGATGGCATTACAGAGATATTATCATATCATATTTCAATAATTCAATTGATTAGGTCTACCTACTATTCTTGACATTTAAAAGTTGACATAAGTAAATGCTTTTAGAACTTCATTGCTTGATCTTGCCGAAGTTGCTTTTCTTAATAGTAAAAACGAATGCAATTCTCATGCGCTACGAGATGAAAATTTAATTTAGTTGATGCCTCCTTTTCTCTTTACACATTCGATCGATGAACTACGAACCTACTAGAAAATGATAGATCTGTAGCGCTCGTTGAAATACAACTTTTGATATTGATTCCATAATTCAACGAGCTCAGTTTGTACACTAAAATTTATAACAATAATACCATGTTGTCTCTTTTTATGCCATTTTTTTTCTTACCATCGAAGTTTGTTTGCGTTTATTGTATTTTATATTCAAGGATTTTTCGTATTGAACAGATATACATATATATAGATAATACACAACCTCTACTATACAAATATATAATCAAATTAAATTAATGTTGCCTAGTTTTAATACATGACTCAAAACAACAAAATGGCACGAGACTTTTGAGTTGCACAGTAACTGAGTGTTATTTTAAAATATCTAATACTCAACTTTTAACTTTTGAAATTGTTCTAACGAAAAGTTGGTCAGTATTTACTTTTGATAACTCCTCGATCATTGTCAAAAAAAGTCACAGAAAACTGCTTCAGAAGATTTGAACCTCACAGCTTGACAGAAAAATGAAACAATTCTTTTTCGACATATAACAAATGTTAAAGAATTAAAAACTGAATAAATTATCAATCACTGTCGTTTTATCTAGAAAAAAAAAATTAACACAACAATCACTTCATAATTTATTCTTTTTATGTTACTCGCTTTCATGGCGTGATCATTTGATATATCTGTTTACAACAAGAGCATCGAAGATTAAGTTTCAATCAAGCAATTTTTTCCTTTTTACATATGCTTTACTATGTATAAATGATCTTTCGATATTCAGTTTTTCATGCTGAATCTGAAACAAACACTTTTCAAATGTGAATGAAAGAAAAAAGTTAACAATTTGTTGGTCACTAAAAATTGATCTATCCTTAGAAAAAAAAAAAAGGTCGATTAGTCGATTACAAAAAATTGACCTATTTTTCAGTAAAGATAGGTCATCGTAAAAAACTGAAAATTTTTTCTTAAAACTCATTCCAAAACAATGAAAGCGCCTATACTCTTAATCAGCTTGTCATGCTCTATCTAACCATATAAAAAAAAGGAAAAAAATCCTACTTTAATTTTGTATTTTTGGTATCTTAGCTTGTTTTTTATAATCAATTAATTTTTATTTTGTTTCTCATTCTCAGCAAAAAGTGATAGTTCCAATAATAACTCCAGGACCGTAGTTTGGTTGTTACTAAATCGATCATGTAGTCCTTTACTTAACGATTTGGGGTTGAATGGAGGTTAGTAGATGACTTACACCCTCAATCCATCTTTCACTACTAAAATATTTAAAAAACAACAGCTGAAAGTGAGGAATATTTTTATACGAAGCATCATTGCTCAAAGACATTTTTACCAAAGATAATTATGCGTGGACAATTATTTATGAGGACGATCATTTCGGGATATTTTTGAACACACTTGTTTCAAAGGATAGTTAAGACTCAATTCTTCCAATTAGTTCGATCAAAAATATTATATTTTTAGAGCATATGATATGGAAAAAAATCTGAAATTTTCAAGAGAATCTAGTGAATTTCAAAAATATAAATCCTGATAAGTCTTTGCATCACTATCTTTGATGCGAAATAAGCGTCTTGTTTTTATTGATATAAAGGATGTGTCATAATAACTAACGATAAACTGTTAATAGTATTCTTTATAGGTTGTCTTGACGTAGAGAATTGAAATTTTTATCACATATATATCTAATCAAGATTTTTTATTTCTGAATGTTTTGACTCTCTACTTGTAATTAATGGTGAAATATATCGACAAGATTGAAATGCATAAATTTTCTCACTTGATTTTTCGCATTATTTTCACTCTTCCAAAGATAAAAAGAAATTTCTTTTTCTATTTCATGTTTTCATTATCCAATACACTGTATTAAAAAAACAAAATATGCTACAAGATGCAGCGTGAAAAGCTCTACAATTTATACAGGACAGCTTATTTTATATATTCACTCTTTGGTTTCAAAATGAATAAAATTCTGTGCGACTAATTTTCGATGCTGAGGAAAAGATCGTTTTTAAGGACACGATGAATTTCTTTTCTTATTTCATCAATTAATGAATCATTGCTTTTAAGTTTATCCTATCACATATTTTTGTAATTGGAGCACATGTCGATTGGTCTAAATTTGATCATCGATTATGGTCTTCGATGCAACTCATTAACTGAAGCAACAAGAAAAGAAATTCATCATGTCCTTAAAAACGATCTTTTCCTCAGCATCGAAAATTAGTCGCACAGAATTTTGTTCATTTTGAAACCAAAGAGTGAATATATAAAATAAGCTGTCCTGTGTAAATTGTAGAGCTTTTCACGCTGCATCTTGTGGCATATTTTGTTTTTTTTAATACAGTGTATTGGATAGTGAAAAAATGAAATAGAAAAAGAAATTTCTTTTTATCTTTGGAAGAGTGAAAATAATGCAAAAATCAAGTGTGAAAATTTATGCATTTCAATCTTGTCGATATATTTCACCATTAATTATAGCTAGAGAGTCAAAACATTCAGAAATAAAAAATCTTGATTAGATATATATGTGATAAAAGTTTCAATCCTCTAAGTCAAGACAACATATAAAAAAATACTATGAACAATTTATCGTTAGTTATTATGACACACCATTTATCGTTTGTTTATGTAACGCACATTGTTTCTTTTTTCGTTGACTATAGTTTCATATTGGTTAAATAATGAGATAAATGATCATTCAAACTGTCAAGAAAAATACAAATTATGACAATCAACAGCACAATGATAATACGTTGTTAGATAAAGAAGGAGAAAGAAAAAAAAATATGTGATGATGCAGCACATTCTTTTTCATGTGCATTGGATATTGACGATATCAAATAACAAAAGGATATGAAGTAATTTTTAATTTTACCCTTCACTTGACATATTTTGAATGCCATTCTTCTTCGTTTTATGAAAAGAAGTGTTGTGAACTAGTCTATGAGCACAGATAAGATACAGATATGTTTCCTTTTGAACAAGTGGCTTTCGAAACTGAAAAAAAAAAGAATATTCGACAAATATGGCACTTCAATAAGTAACAAATATGATTGAAGAAAACACGATTGGCAGTACTTCAATAGTAGTTTGTAGAGTTCTCACTGGGCACCTTTCAACTTTTCTGAATGAGAGCCACCATACATCTGTTTGAAATCTCATAATCAATTCACAGGATAGTTGCTTTCTGATGATGACCTATTCCAA